GGTCACTGGTGATGTTTACAATCGAAGCAACGCGGACAGGACTGACATTCGGAAAGGACATGTGGAACTTTTCAATCAAATTACTCCGATAATGCAGTCCACTGGTCGATCAAACTTTGAGTTGCTGCATTGCTGCAAGGCTAGTGCAAACGTTGTGCACGGTTTGTGTGGCTCGAGTACCCCTTTAGTGATCCTTGTTTGCTGCAACGTCAATGGCCGGATATGGAGAACAGGCAACTGATGCAAAGTCTAATTACTTGCACAAGAAAAGGGATAGGCGTACGTGCTTTTGTTGAGTTGTGGTGTCAACCTTTGGCCTGCTTCAGGGGCTTTGAAGACTGATTCAGTTTCTGTTGGGTTCTTCAGATTTCCTCAAAATAGTAACTTGGCAAGGATGCAGAGCCCCGAGAAGACGCTGAGCGTTTGAAGACATTGCAGGCGCCGCGGCTTGGGGAGTGATTGCCGGCAGGGTGGTCCCGGTGGTCAAGAAACCCTTTGGCAGTCATTGAAACTTTTTGGAAGGGCTGTAGGCGCTGCCCAATTTGTTTCTATTGGATGTTTTTTCACGAAGTCTTCTGGATAATGCCTCGGCTGTTCTGTTGGCGCTTGCGCGGGTTTTTCAAAAAAAGATCCCACACGTGTTTTGGAAGTACAATGTAGGTTTGCATTGACGGTTGCCCCACCTTGCAGCAGTGGAGAGCCTTCCATCATCATTTCTAGTTCGCGTGCGCAGACACGGGATCTGCACCCTACACCGTGCAGGAATGGGTGCTTGCAAGCAGCGAAGAACTGAGCTCACCACATGTGGTGGGCTATGACTTTAATCAAGGACCAGCTTACAAACTTCGCATGCGAGGTGCCAACCAAGGGAAATTTTCCGTTGGAATTCTTCTGTTGAAGAGTCCAGTCTGCAGTACACCAAACGTTGCAGCACAGAGTGAGAGAGCTTGTGCGGTTCAATCCAAGAGGTACTTGTCAGGTTTGTGAGGCACCACTGTTCTGTCATTGTAATTTCAGCTGGTAGGAGTGGACTACGAAGCCTTGCTGCAGTCATACATGACAACAGGCCCGTTTCTGAAATGACCATGAGGTGACACATTGTTGAGGTGGTGCATGTTGCCACACGGGTTAAACTAAAGGGACAAAGGTAAGAAAAAGGAAGGACACAAATAAAAAACATCAACGTTTCCTTGTTGTAACCATAGACGATAAAGATTTGTTCCACGTTGGCTTGCCACAGGCTTCCAAGCAACGAACCTCGGAAAGGCATGTGGGCATTGTTGCCGGGTTGCACCGATGTTATACAACATTTTGACACGGTAAGTGGTGACTGGTGGTATGGCAAGGTCTTTAGCCAGTCCGAGTCTTTTCATTGGAATTTGGATGCCTGATTCAAGCATATTGAACTCATCAAGGTCAAGTCAGTGAAAGGGCTTCGCACCTTAGTAATTAGTCACAGACACCTCCGGGGTCGAGTGGTTTCGCAAGTACGACCATCTGCACCTTTTCAGCAATTTTGATTTAGAGAATCCTTGTTTTACAAGTGGTTCAGTTCAGATCTTCTAGTGCTTTGAAGATGTTGTTTGTGGGACGTTCTGTTATCAGTTCGCCGTTGCAAGGCCATTCAAGAGATCGAGCAAATGCTTGACTGGTCTCTTGCTGATGAGCCAGTCCCTGAAGATGAGGTGGGAAACGTCGATGGTCGTTTGCCTCATATGTGGGCGGTGAAAAGCACAGAGCCACCCAAGGCACGTATATTGGCTCGTTTGATTTGTGAGAGAAAGACCAGTAAGCCAGTTTTACAATACTGAATACTGGTCATTTGCACCGACATGGACAATCATCCTTTTCAAGACATTTTTCTCCCTTGGCCGTTTCCCATGTCAATGGCCAGTTGGTGGGAGCTGGTCCAGTCTATACAAAATGCACCCCATCTACCGACTGTAGGCACCCCACCTACCAATGCACCCCAGAAGCTACGAACGGGGCTCCTGGCATCAAGGACGCTACTAGTAACAAGAAGCTACGAACGGGGCTCCTGCCACCGAGATCCGGGACCGATCTGCGTGCCGGCCGCGTAGAGATCTATGCCCAGCCCTGTTCGGAACCCGAAAACATGGATGACACACACACACACAGAGACATGGGAGATACGTAGATCGCGGAGACTTGGAAAGAAGTTTCTCATGTTTGTGTTCTATATAGATGGGTATCTCTCTTTTTATTTTACTCACAAGATGCCTGCACCCACACTTGCGCTGGACAAATACATGTTCCCTCCTTTTTGATGCCACCCTCCAACAGCTGGTCGCATTCAGCCAGCAAGTGCGTTTTGAAGTCCACCGCCCCTTCGTAGGGCAGCCTCGAAAGACAAAGGTGGTTGTGCACAAAATGAACGATCCAAGCCATCAAAAAAGAACAGGAAGTATGAAGGGATAACTTGAACACTGACTGCAGAGGCTTCCTGAAGGCAGCTCGCACCACATGATGGACACAAGTACAAAACCAGACAATGATCCACAACTATCGCTAAAGGGGAACGTAAAGGCCAAGAACTTCAGATCTGCAAAGTATCGCACATGGGAGGAGGGTCTGGATCTCCCGAGCCTTCCATTTGGAGACCAAACCCAAGCGGAGCTCTTTGTAATCTGAGTCTCAGTGCAATTTTTTGGGGGGGCATGGTCGCCTAGTTAGTTGGTGCCTGTCAGGTTGATGAGTTCAAAGACATAGAGGCGCAGCGGGCGCTGCCTGTCCACTGCTCGCTCAACGGTGGACAATGAATCATGTTCAGTGGTGAAACGGATTGAAGGGATGATTGGATTTTGTACTTGGGAACCGATACTTTGCCGCCGGTAGTTTTGAAAGAGGGAATTCCAATGGTAGAAAGCACCTGAAAAGGGTGATTGAGGTTATGTATATATACATGTATATCTTTCGATCACGGGCAAGGTCCACTAAGTTCTTCATTGTTTCCCTGCCATGCACGATACGCCCCTGAAGTGGGCCGATAAGTGACATGCACACAACTTACTAGCTTGTCAGGTAGGTCACCAATTATGAGATATCTTACTAGTAGCTTTTTGTTACTAGTAGTAATGCGAGGAGCTACTAGTAGCTTCTTGCTACTAGTAGCGATGCCCTTTGTTACTAGTAGCTTCTTATTAACCAGCAGGTTGTGCATGTCGCAGGCCCGGCGCCGCGTGCGCACCAAGATTTGGCTCTCCTATACGTCCAACCTTATCAGGCACGGTGGAGCCGGGGACGGCCGCTGCCTGCCCTGGATTCTCCACTCCAAACATCTGGATTGCTTTGAGACCGTTGTCTCAGTTTCTCAGCTGAAGCGAAATTGACGAAACCTGAGTTTTTGGTCGAATGGAGAGAGGTCACTCCAAAAGATTGCGAATTTCTTTGTTCTTCAATTTCCAAATGATGAAGCTTTGATCTGCTTGCCGCCTTTCCGCACAGGCAGGATCGATTCCGCTGCAGTAGGGTTTCACCACAGAACAGCGGCGATATTGGCATGATATAAGTGAACACCTCTTCCACGGTCTCAGGGACCAAACTTTGATTGTTGTGCGCTCTGGTTTCATTGACTGAAACCGGGTCTGAAGCTGGCTTGCTCAGCAACCTTAGGACCTTGTTTGGTGGTCCATTTCCAGAAGACTCGACATCACCTCCCCTAGTTGCTCTCCACTGGTACCTTTGTATGGATTTGCAGGAGTGAGACTTTAACAACATAGCCATGGGACAACTCTGTGGTTGCATCCTGATTTGTTTATATAGACCTGTTAAGCATTCGCTAGGGGTACTCGTTAAGACACATCGATGGTTTCGACTTGTTTACACCAATTTTAGCCTGTGGTTTTTGATGTCTATTTCAGTGGTTCTTCTTCCAAACTATTGGCCTTTGAGCACGAGTGTGGAACCGGCCCGGATTCGGCCCTATTCTCATGACCAAAAGGGCTTGATGGATGTGTGTCACTTGCTCCATGTATTTCCGCTTTCTTTTAATCATCAGCATGGGAGATGAACACCAGTGATCGTTCCCTTTGCCAGGGTAGCATGTACACTCCTGTCAATTCAACATCTAAGTCACGGTTTATAAGGTGCCAAGTTCATTTCACTGGGACCTTGATGCCCCATGAGTGATTCCGGACACACCCGCACCAGCTCTGGCCTTCGGGAAACTCTTCGGTTTCTGGTGCAGCACCGCATGGTGCAGGCCAGCAGGGGGGAGGCCCAGGTGAAGGTCAGAAGAGCAGGGGGAGGCCATGTGCTCTAGTTTGGATGGACACTGAGTGGGCCTTGTGACGGGTAAAAGACAAGACTTCCAACATTTCGGGGGCTTGGAGGATGGGAGCGAGGAACTTTACAGAGAGGAGAGAGAGAGTGAGTGAGTGAGAGAGAGAGAGAGAGAGCCTTGTACAGCCGCGCGGGGGAAGAACCACTCGCTTGGTGAAAGGAAGCTCTGGATCAAACCCTGGACAGCCCTGAATAGGATTTTGAACCTACCATTTACTCTTTATTGAAATACGCCTACCCGGTCGCACCTTTTGAGAGCGATGCTAATTCTCACCACAGCATTGTGGCTCAGAGGATAAAAGGAAGTCCGCGTAGTTGCATAGCTTAACGCTAGTGTTCAGCGGCCGAGGTTGAAAATACAGGTTGTCAGGCCTCTGCCATGGCTACAGATGATGGTGTGTCAGCTGCACTCACAATGATACCGTATACCGGCGCTCAACCACCGAACGCCGGGGGCGACCTCGTGCCCGAGGACGTGTTAATGGGATCAGAAGGAGTGACAGCATATTTTCAATTCATCCAGGACAACCTCCAGCACATTGGGTCAGGCAATGAGAACGCTGTTCGGCATGATGCAGAACAGCGGCATCGTGAGATCATGCAGAGCACTATCGGTACTTTAGGTACCCAGTGTCGGCTTGCAATAGATCAGATGCGTGAAGCCTGTGCAGCAAGTTCCTACATTGGAGGAGCGTGTTGTGTCATTGGAAAGGTAGTTGGCTGAAAGTCAGGCCAAAGTCGCCAATGCTGAGCAGTTGCATCAGCAGAAGATGGCACAGCAGAAGGATGAAGCAGAAAAGCTACATCAAGTCAGATCGAAAAGCTGAAGCAGATGTTTGACAAGATTGTGGACGATGCCTCGGACAAAGCTCGTGGCTTGTTAGTAGAAGAAAGAAGACGAAGCAAAAGGCCACACTTGAAGCAGAGCTGCAAAAGGCAGCGCGAAGCAATGAACTGCTACAAGACCAGCTTCATGAGCTAATCTCCCATCGAGATACGGACCCAGCGCATCAGCAGCCAGCGCCTACTGCACCTGTGCGGTTGGAGCCCACTGGCCGCGAGGCCGAGCCCAAGATTGGTGAAACGAGCGCCGAATGAGGAACGTTTTGGAACTCCCGCAGAACAGTTCGTTGACGCCCGTCAAAGCCTAGATGAAAAGGCTTTGAATGCAGGTCGGTGATGGAGCAACTGACGGCAAAACCCCGCACTGCTTCAGGCGCTGCTTCGGGCCACGCCGGAGCAATCGTTAGTGGTTTGGCTGAGGGAAATCCAAAGGCCACCAAACAGACCTGACATGCCAACACCAGAGACTTACCGTCAGTAGAAGAATCTAGTGAGAGAGCTCGTTAGGTCATCGCCAGATAAAACCAGATGAAGCATGGAAGTGGATCATGGAAGTCTGGGACCCCACTTTGAGGACTCAGAGGCCATGTCAAACTGCGCTGCATGGAAAGCAGAGCCCAGGCTACGACAGACACGACGATGGCCCAAGGAATTACCTCCGCCTGTACGTCAAGACCAAAGACAAAGTGGTAAACTTTGAAGAAGTTTCGAATACACAGGAGCTCACCAAGGAAGAACTTGGCAAGAATGCTTCTGCGGCAGTGCTTGAGCAGCGCTTGAGGTTTGCGGGTGGTGCCGATGGAACAGAGAAGCGCGAGCTGGATCTGTTTGGAAAGTTGAAGGCGGAGATGGCAGTGTGTTGAGTGAGGAAGGGCTTGCAGTGTGTTGAGTGAGGAAGGGCTTTTGGGCCCAGACGTTGAAGAGGTGATGGAAGAAGTCAAGAAGAAGACAACGAGGAGATTACATATGGAAACTTGGGAAGTTTGGTAGGTTAATAGGTACAGCTGTTTGTTTGGGCAGGCTTGCCCCTTGAAGTGTGCCCACCCCATGTTTTTTTGTTCTAGGACACCCGTGGTCCAGCCGTTTCATGCGCGCTTGCCCAAGACAAAGAAGGATGAAGAGGATAAGGAAGGCAGCAGCAAGTCTCAAGAGGAAGAGGCAGAGGGAGAAGAAGCGTAAAGCTGAGCGTGTGTATGTGCAGAAACTGCAAAGCCTCAAGACAGATATGACGAAGCTGCAGCGGCAAATGCGTTCAAGTCTCGCAGGCTTCCAAGGTACCCCTCCAGACGCTGCTGAATTTCAATTTGAGATGCTGCTTGTTCAGTGGGCAGCGTGCGGGCCTTGGGCACCGAATTCTGCGCTTGGAGATCAAACACACTTTGGAAGAAATTCTTCAAGTCAAAAAATGCTGGGTGTTCTCGCGTCTGCTTGCAAAAAAGCAATGAATGAGACGCTGTGGGCACGCAAGAAGTCCCAGACCGCCAAGGAGAAGCAGAACGAAGAGGAAATCAAGGAGTCAGGTCGAGGTGGGGACGGCTGGGGGGGGTACTGCAAGAACAGCGCTGGCAAAGCAAACGATGGTCTTTTTGGCTTAGTAAGGGGAGTGTCTATTGTTTTGCATTCTGACAAGAACACATTCTTCTGTGTGAGGCCAGAGTAAAAAGCGACAAAGGACAATTGCCACATCTGGTCAGCCCAGATGCCAAACGCTGGCATTTGGGACATGCCAAGGCCTTTTTGTGGTGGGCAGCTGTGAAAAGGCTTTTGAACCAGAATTTTTGCGAAACAAAGCTGAAAGACTTTGGTGTGAAGAAGGTCATTGAATCAGAGACAAGAGCGGGTGACAACCCAAAAGGTGCAGGAATCTGGAGACACCACGGTGTCTTTTTCGTGGGACAATTGGCCCTTTGATTTACCTCCTGGCGTCCACCCATGTCGATGGCAGTGATGTCTCAGGCTTGGGAGCTGATGAAGAGTGATTTTGGTTGCGCCCACGCAATGAGCCTCGGCAACACAGTCTTGGCGAGGCGATTCTCAAGAGAAAGGTGGCTGCCCGTGAAGCTGCCGCAGCTCAAAAAGGAGCTGTGCAGAGTGCGCCCGAATCCCGTCAAGATCCACCTGCAAAGGGCGCGGAAGGTGAAGGTGGTGGTGTGGCCGAAGCAAATGCCAACCCCAAGGATTCAAAGGGTGCTCAGCGGACTGACCAGGTTGAGTGAATGTGAAGGTATGGTGCTGAGGGCAAGTGCTGTCTTGTGCTTCAATGGCATACGCCTATGCAGTGGCTGTTGGATTTTTCCTGTTTGTGGGTAGACCCGTGCCTGTGTGAGCATGTTGCGTTGTGCTGCGGGTTGCCTCGTGTCAGTGGTGCATTTGTGCGGGTTTCCCTGCCTCAGCGGTGCATTTGTACGGGTTGCCCTGCCAAGGCGGCGTTCCATTCAAAGAATGGGTGCGTGCCACTTGTTTTTGCTGGAGCTTACTTTCAAGAAAGCCCTGGCCCTGAAGCTCTTGTGTGCGGGCTACCGTCCACTTCAGGGTGGCAACGTTTTCCGGCCCAAAGCTGTGAAAAAAATGGTTGCAGTTTTTTTGGCAAGAAGCTGCTGGCAGTCAAAGAATGATTTTTCTCATGCTGTTTCGTGTTTCTTGCCTAGCTATGTGACAAGGTATTGAACAATTGTTATCATAAACATGTGTGTCTGTGTGGGTGTGTTGGGTGACTTTTCTTTCGATTCCCTTCTGTTTTCCAAAGAACGTTGGTTCCTTGTAGAGCAAGAGTCACCGAAAGAGTGTCATACAAGAGTGTCCCACAAGATTGGCTTGCAAGAGTGTCCCACAAAAGCGTTGCGCAAGAGTGTGTCCTACAGGAGTGTCGCGCAAGAGTGTCTTACAAAAATGTCGCGCAAGACCCCCCCAGCTTGTCAATTGGGTTGTTGATAGGCCTTGGGGCTTATGTGTGCACACATAAGCGGCCTACTCCCACAGCGGCAGAGGTCATGATCACCACAGCGGGTGGGATTGAAGAGGACCACGCAGGGTGAAAGGGAGAGGTGTGCACCCACAAAGCAAGGCATGTCCTCCCGCAGAAGCAAGTACAGTTGGCCACAATTTATCACGGGTAACAGAATAGACTTTGTTGGTTCACTATGGTTCTTTCCCATTTTCCTGCTGCTATACTCTTGACTACACAGCAGTCCAAGCTGGATTCATGAAGCTGTGGCCGTGGTTCATTCCAAGCGAGAATGTTTAAACGAGTGAGACATGATTGGACTGGAGTCCGTCGCTGGAGTCCTTGCCGCCCAGCAGCTGGGCAAACACGTTCTGCAGCCAAGAGGAATCGTTTGAAAATGAACTGCCTAAAAACTAAAGAATGTTGGCTCTAGGACCAGACAATCCTTGCGCCAACATGTTTTCCAGAGGCTTTGTACGACGCTGTTTCGCCTGAATCTCGATAGGACATCATCAAGTGCCTGGCCCCGACGCACCTGGGCGACTTCGCCCTGCCGGGTCTGGACTTGCGGCGCAAGGGCATCAATCGCATAGGCGGGGCCAAGTGGACGGCTGGTGGCATCTCGTAGGTGCCCAGCAAGTCCAGTTGAGGATGTCCTATTTGCCGTCTCCAGTTCCACCGCACACAAGGGGACCACATGTTCGCAGCAGAAGTGGTGCTGAATCTGGGGTGACAGTCAGGATTTCACCAGCGCTGCAAAGGACTGCAGCTTTGTAGAGTTTTCCTCCCTTGTGGGAATGTATCAGCGACTTGGTAGACCTGAGGATCCTGGCTTGGAGTTCTACGCACTTCTACGTCAATTTCTGAATTTGCTTCACTGAGGCTACCATCAACATGCTCTTTTCTCCACGAAGCCAACCTCGGCTCTGCATTTTGGGGGGGTCCCACCGTTTGCTTGGGTTGCCGCACAAAAGCTGCTTCCTTTCGTCTGTTCCATATCTCAGTGGGTGTTTCAGTGACTCGTGTCACCACTGAGTTTCGAACCGCTTTTCCACATGACCGGTGCCCCAAGAAGCTGTAGCTCCCCGGCAAACAGGAAACCTCCTGGCTCCCAATGAGAACTACTGCAAGTTCGAGGATGCCCCAAGGGGCCGCACATGGAAACGGATTGTTTGATGTGGACTTGAGGTGGCCTGTCCGCTGCAGAAAGTAACTTTCTGAAGAAGTTTCAAAGTCAACAATTCATGGAAGATGGATTGTCGGGTTGCAGGGGGACCAAACGTGGACTAGAGTTGCAGAGGGTGGGTCGGCTTGTGAGCCCCCAAGCTGTTTTCAGTGGAAGGCGAGAACATTCGACTTGCAATTGGGGGGTGGCCGATGCCGGTGTCAGTCATGCAGAATCTACAGAGTAGAGGTTTGACGCCGTTCACGTACAGAGTACTGTGATTCAATGGTTGTATTGGCCTGCTCCAAACTACTGGAAGTACTAACACCGTGCTAGTGCTTGATTGAATTTTCTTTGTTTTTTATTTTCAATGCGGAAGGGGATCTCACCAGCTCTGAAGGATTGGATCACGCCCATCCTGAACGCCATGCATGACGAGCAGGAGCGATGGTGCCCAGTGTCCAGTTTATGTAGGACTGGGATGTTGGAATTTGGCGAAGCATACCCCCGAAGCATACTCCATAGTCAAACATCCCGGCCCGTGAACTTCAAAAGAATGTGCCCCTGAAAACTATTTGTTACGTTCTGGTTCCGGGTCTTTGCTGCCTGTGGAGACCTCGCCGAAAGATGGGATTTTGAGGCATCTTGCAGTGCTATAAAGACGCAGCTTTGGTAGAAAAATGCTCCTGTTTGGATACTTGCAAGTTGTCGTTGTTCCTTGGTGGGGTTGGCACTGCGCATGTACAAATCACCCCTTCCTGGGTGCCTTCCTCAAAGACTCCAAATCTTCCCTTCGGAGTCAGGAGAAGGATGGTGTGGTATGGACACCCTCGAAGATGATCCATCGCTTCGGCAAGGCGGGCGGTAAATCCTGTGCTGAGGAACGAAAATCCGAAAGCCGAAGAGATTGGCTGACTCCTGGGGACTCAAACCTTGATGAGCCCTGTTGTTTCTTTGATGTGACTGTTGTGATTGGCTGATCTTCATGAAGTCACCTAGGGACTGAGGGGACCACAGGCCTATGTCGTTCACATTGGCCGCCGCACTGCCAGGAAATCGACAATCCTGAGTCCGTATGCTATTGGGCCTACCGCACCTGGCCTAGATACGGATGAGGTGCTGGAGCATTGACACTACTGACCTGCGATCTCCAAAAGGGAACCTTTTTTCCTGAGATCTTTCAGACCAGCTCCAATCTCTCATTGCTGTTGGCTGTCAAGTCTCTGATTTGGCCCATCTCCCATAGATTTCTGCTGGGTGCAAGGTGGGTGCAAACGCTTGGAGCAAAACCCAACAAAGGGGGATTATCCTGATTTCTGTAGATTTGAACATAAACCCGATGCACGGTTGACCATGCTCTCTTGTGCCTTTCGGCCTTGAAAGCCTTCCTCTTCCTCCCAGGAAATAACGTCCCGATCTTCTCACCGGCCATTACCGATGGCTCCATTGGGGACATGCTGTATTTCCACAGCTACAAGAGGAGTGGCGCCTTGGTTGGGTGACTTGCACAAGGACGGTCCCTTTGCCTTTTCCTGATAAAGACATGAACAGAGATTTTCTGACAGGCGCAGGGAACTGTGAAATTTGGCGTACTGATAAGTCAACCGTGGAAGAAGTCTCGGGCGAAAGCTTTGTTTTGGCCTCTCAAAGTGGTCTTTGCAAGTGCTTGGGACGCGAATCGCAGCAGGGCTGCGGGCTGCGAGTGAGCCTTGAAGTGTGATCTCTTTTTTGGCATGTGCAGGACTTTGTGAAGCTACAAGTGCAGATGTAGCATGTAACATGTCTTGTGTACTTCGTTTTCATACTTTCATCCTAGGTAACTTGTAGCTGTTTCGCCCTTGTATCGAGCAAACCTCTCTTAGATTCTTAGATTAGATTATTCATTTGACTCAGGTAGTGTACAAATTATGATGGGCACTTGTCCAAGAGAGCAGTTTTGACTGTATGTATTAGCGTCTTTTTACAAGTATCAACTTCGTCAATATGATCTTGACAAGAAACGTCCTTGCTGTCATACCCATACCCAGATTAAATCGGCAGATCCAAAAAATGCCAAAACCCCACTCCTGCACCGAATCTTTTTTGTAGACTGCCGCAACTTCAAGAAAACAATCAATGAACAATATCATAAATCATAAAAAACAACTTACAAGATCTCCCGACCCAGGTTTTGTTCTGGACCTTGTTCAAGACATCCGTGCAGTGAATGACCAAGCAGCTGGGAGCGCAGTTCATGGGGAAGTGCACACTCTGTTTCAGTCACAGCTTCTCCTTGTGCTAGAATGGCCAGACCAGATCAGAGATAAGTTTCACGACTTGACACAGTAACTGGGAACCGTTTCTGAACCTTGCACTCCAAACTGGCACAGAGTCTTGCCAAGTGATTCAATTTAGGGCTGTGCCCATTTTCACCAGGGTTTGCGCCAAGAATCCACGGGGGTATGATTTGTGCAGCCACAGCCAATGCGTGCAAGTAGCGAGTTCAGCTAGATTCACGTGTGTGGAGGTTTGCCCCAAAAATGCCGTGTTGCTGAGCTTCATTCCACTGCGTTTTGGTGTTGGTCATGGCAAAATGGTTTCTTGAGCCGCACCGATTTTCGTTGGACTTGTTTACGCTTGGTCCCCCAAGGTGTACCCCTTGGGGCCCTTGGGGTCACCCGGATGGAGTAACGATTGAATCCTGTCCGCTGGAGGCGATGAAGGCTCGGAAGACAGGGGTGCTGGTGCTCGGTGCCGTCCTCGGCTTTTCGTGAAAGAGAAGACTTTTCGAAAGCCTGCTGAACCCCGAGTTATACGGTTGCTCCCAGGATGTCAATCAGAAAACTGGTTTTGGTGTGTCCTGATTCTGAGGCAAAACTATTTGGGTGTGGCTCAAAAACAAAGAGCGAGGGAGAAATCCACAGGTGTGGTGTGGGTTTAAATTATGCTATCCAACGTGCATTCGATGCCCAATGCTTTAGCCATACCGTACGCATCATTTGGACGCACACTCTTTGGGGGAATGCTTTGAAGAATCATTGCGCCTCCAAGTAGCTTTGAGTATAAATCAAAACCGGCGATTCTCTCTGAACGTCCGTTGTGGGAAGGTCAACTCAAAGCAACCATATGGGATCCAACATCTGTCTGGGCAGGCCCGCTATGCCCAGACCTCGTCGTTTGAGGTGGCGGGCTTGTGAAGCATCATTGCATGAATGCCAACCTCATGCGCCTCTTGGAGAATTGACATGAGTTTCTTTTCTTTTTTTTTTCCGTTGCCTCCTAGAGGCAAGGCGGCAAGGTGCTTAAAACCCAACTACCGGTGGGAATCCATGCACCATCATGTCCCTGGACAGAGTCTTTGTCCAGCTTTCGCGCGAAAGAGAGGGTATGGGTCAGGCTTTGCCTGCATTAACGTTAGGTTGTTTGTAAGTCGACAGGAGGGCAAGGGACGTCTTGTAATAGCCATAGATGCCTTCGGTTTCCTTTGTCCCTACGATTGTTTGGAATAACAGTTTGGGCCAAACATGATTGCCGGCCAAATGGATTGAGCCACAATAGACAAACTCACTGAATTGGATCGCAATCTTGCTTTTGATGGACGCAACCATGGGGCTCCTCTTCCATGGACAGATGCCGGATTGGTTGTACAATATAGACTAAATACCCTTCAGACCAAAGGGCATGAATGCCTCTCAGACAGGCAACAATCAGATGTTCTTTCAAGTAGGATTGCTCCCCAATTGGTCCCTGAGAAAGGGTCCAGTTGTTTTCTGAGAAACTCTCTTGTTAGTTTTGAAATGTAACTTGGGAATTTTGTTTGGTTTATCAGGTTCACTTTGGTTGTGGTCCATTTTGTTCCAAGGGTCTTTGGCTGAGGGAATGGTGCGGACTTCGTGGTCTATGTGAGCACCGCTCAGGTGCACCGAGGGTGGAGGGTCGTGCCGGTGGAGGGTCGTGCCTTTCTTCGCGTTTCGGCTGGGCCGAAGGCAGCAGAAAGAAGTATCATCATTTCACAGATACGGCGGCCAATGGCACAGATACGGGTCCCTGCCCTTGACAGGTCATTCTGTGTTTCAGGAACTTTCTCTACCACCGTCCAGTTGCACTTTGTGTCTTGTGAAATTCTCCTCATCCAACACTGAGGAGAATCGACCTGTCGCGTGAAGGCGTTTGACAGGAATTTCTACGGTGGATGCCTAGAACCCCTTTGGATGCCACTGTATGATTTCCTGAACAGCGGTACTCCAAAACACATGCAGGCCACTCAGAGGCACTAAAAAAGCGCAAAAGGCACACGCATACAGACATACAGTGACATACACATGTTCTACAAAGACATGTTTCATCAACCACAAACCAATGAACCATCATCAACCACAAACCAGTGCGGCACTCCACGCAGCTCCCAGGAGTTCGACGGCTCCGACTCCGGCGCGCGGCCGGACGAAGCGGTGAGCTGGGGCAAGATCCGCGTCGATGCACAGCCGGTGAAGGCGAGGAGGAGGGACTTCGTTGCTTCGATGCGATGGGATGGACTTCAGACGCTGTTGGGAGAGGCTGAGACGGGCTGAGACAAGTGTGTGTAAGATTGCTGGCCAGTCACCGTCTTCGCTTCGGGCGAGCATCTTCCAAACGACCAGAAGAGTGACCTTTTTCCTACCTTCCTACTTTGGTCGTTTGGGATGTTTCAACCTCCGTTGCCTTACTTTGGGGATCTTTGGGGCATCAATCTTGAGATCTTCGGTGCGGATGCCGACAGGATGCCGCCAGGCTCGTGGAGTCGACGGACCGACCCGTGGCCTGGCGGCCGGTACATAGCTGCCGTTCGGTCGGGGAGCGCCGCAGGTACATGCAGAGGCGACCTTGGTGCTTCCACTGATGGTGGCCAAGACCTTTGCCCGCAGGCCGTGCATGGCAGGAGAGTGTGTAGCTTTGCAGTCATTTTGTTGGGTGATCCAAGTGATCTGAACATGTCCAAGGATGGTGTGCGCAAATTAGCAGAATCTCTAACTACTGATGAGAAGAAGCGGGAATTGGCTTGGGGGCTCACGAAAGTCATGGAAGTTCATGGAAGTAAGCAACATTCATTTGACGGCAGATCCTGCATGCCAACCAAAACAAACTGCGTCGTCTTCTCCAAAGGAGTCACCGAAACTGCAAGGCTTCAGAAAGGCGAGTGGAACGCAGATGGCCGTGCGGTGCTCGGAAGGGGGACCGCGGGATCGGAGATTTGGATGACAAGGGGCCTCTAGTAGCAATGCCAGGAGCCCCTAGTAGCGTCCTTGCTCCTAGTAG